AAGATAACCCCTTTTGTCTCTGCCTTGGCCCCAAAGCAGAGAAAAAACTAGCTGCTTTCAGTTGGACCTCCTTTCCAGCAGCCCCAAAGGAAAAAAAATATTTCCTTTTTAAAATCTGTTTTTCTGGTTCAGAAAATCTCAAATTGATCTCAAAAGGATTTCAGGTTAATCCCACCACTCTGCCACCATGTCAAGGTTCCTTCCCCACTCTGAAGTCTAGGGTACAGATGTGGGGACCTGCATGAAAACCTCCTAATTAATTAAAAATTAATTAATACAAAAAATTACAAATACAAATTAATTTTACCCTTTGCCCTTGGATTTCCACTGCCACCACCAAACTTTATCTGGGTTTACTGGGAAACGTGGTTTGGACACATCTTTCCCCCCAAAATCCTCCCAACCCTTGCACCCCACTTCCTGGGGAAGGTTTGGTAAAAATTCTCACCAATTTGCATAGGTGACCACAGACCCAAACCCTTGGACCTTAGAACAATGAAAAAGCATTCAGTTTTCTTACAAGAAGACTTTTAATAGAAGTAAAGGAATCACCTCTGTAAAATCAGGATGGTAGATACCTTACAGGGTAATTAGATTCAAAACATAGAGAATCCCTCTAGGTAAAACCTTAAGTTACAAAAAAGACACACAGACAGGAATAGTCATTCTATTCAGCACAGTTCTTTTCTCAGCCATTTAAAGAAATCATAATCTAACACCTACCTAGCTAGATTACTTACTAAAAGTTCTAAGACTCCATTCATGTTCTGTCCCCAACAAAAGCAGCATACAGACAGACACAGACCCTTTGTTTTTCTCCCTCCTCCCAGCTTTTGAAAGTATCTTGTCTCCTCATTGGTCATTTTGGTCATGTGCCAGCGAGGTTACCTTTAGCTTCTTAACCCTTTACAGGTAAGAGGATTTTTCCTCTGACCAGGAGGGATTTTAAAGGGGTTTACCCTTCCCTTTATATTTATGACACTCACTAACCAGTCATAAACTGTGCTTCTCATCCCCCATACTGGTAATTGAGAAGCTGAAAAAAGAAATCACATTTTGTTTCAGTTGTCTGGCTCCCAATCAGCACCTAGGGCCAGTACAGTGAATAGTTATTTAAAAACTCTGCTCGCTATACAGAATATTCTGCTGACCCCAAAGGGTCAGCCCCGTGCCAGCTCAATATTAGGTTGGATTTTACCCAGAATGCCACGCTGCCAGGCAATCCTTGAGTGTCTAAAACGAAGGGTTTATTATAAGGAAAAAAGAAGAGGGTTGTTAAACGATAAAGCACTCCGATACATACAGAAACTTCAAGGTCCGTATATCAAGCTCTTAGCAGTATTGGTGAGTTCGCTGACTTGAAAATCCCTCTGGAACAGATCCTCAGCTTGGAAGGGTCATTCAGTCCTTTTTTCAGAGCTTCGGCTTGTAGAAAAGTCACTCCAGAGATAAGGAGCAGGAATGACGAGAAAATGGAGATGATGCAGCTAACCTTTCTGTTCCTTTTCCAGGTGGCTTGTGCTTCCTGTGTCTCAAACACAAACTTACAGAACACGGGCATGGAAAGGTCTTAGGGCTTGTCTACGCTGCCAAGTGAACGACAAAACTTTTGTTGTTCCCTGGTGCTTAAAAAAGCCCCCCTGTGAAAGACAAAAGTTTTGTCACAGCAAGCAGCAGTGTGAATGTCACCTTGTCAGCAGGAGCCCAGTCCTGTCGACAATGCAAACCCGCTCATAGGGGGTGGAAATTTTTTGTCGCCAACAGTGCCAACAAAAAAAGTTCACACTGACAAAGTTTTAGTGACAGGGCCGTGTCGCTAAAAGCTGGGGAGTGTAGACAAAGCCTTAGAGTCCCCTGTCCATAGACATGGCCCTACAAGTCCTGCTGAGTCAGAAGGTGTAGTCCCTGGCCTTTCAGTGAGTTCATTGTACAGATGATGATCCTCGATGGGCCATTGAACCGGCCAGGCAGTGCTGATGCCAGTCTGTGTAGGGGTGTCACCCAGAAACCCAGCACAAGTCACCCAGAAACCCAGCACAAGTTTGGAAACACAGATATACCCTACATATCTATAACACACACTACAAAGGAGATACAAACGTATCAATAAGATGATCATACTTGGCTAACGTCACGGAGTCCCCGGGCGATGCTCTGGAACTGCTCCCCATGAAGCCAGTCAGGACTCTGGGGAAGTCTCCTTTCTGTGAGCAGCCTGTCCTCAGGACACACAGCTCACCCAGCTTCCACCTTCCTGGGTCTGATCTCGGAGCATTCAGCATCCCCTGCCCCTCTGTGCGCTTCCCACAGCGAGTCTGCCCATGCAGGCTCCTGGGGAAGCCAGAGGGTCCTGCCCCCCAACTTCACAGTCAGATGTGACTCTCAGTCAGCCAGGAAAACAGAAGGTTTATTAGATGACAGAAACATGGTCTAAAACAGAGTTTGTAAGTGCAGAGAACAGGACCCCTCAGCTGGTCCATTTTGTGGGGGGCAGTGAGCCAGACAACCACGTCTGCCCTTCACTCCATATCTCCAGCCAGCCACAAACTGAAACTCCCTCCAGCCCCTCCTCCTCTGGGCTTTGTCCCTTTCCGGGGACAGGAGGTCACCTGATTCCTTTGTTCTCCAACCCTTTAGCTCTCACCTCGCAGGGGGGAAGGGCCCAGGCCATCAGTGGCCAGGAAACAGGGTGTCGGCCATTCTCTGTGTCCAGACCCCTGCACACACCTGCCCTCTAGGGCTCTGCAATGATCATACGCCCTTACCCCACCACCTATATACTTAAGAACTGCATAGGGGAAACTGAGGCACTCCCCACACGATTCAGGGGAAATATTAAGAACAGTCCCACTTTGTCACAGCTAATCATAACATTTTCACAGATACCTTACATGGCATATCTCACACAATTCATCGCAATTTTATAATACTGGTATCAACAATATGATGAAGTACCTCCCACATTCCACAGCATCACAGTGCCCCCCCTCCGCCAGGTTAGCCCTAAAGGAGGTAATCTCCGTATAGGCCTTGATGGACAGGCCTGGGTTCTTCTGTATCCTGCCTCCAGCTCAGCAGGGTGCAACTTCCTTATTTTCTTCCCATGTGAATTTATTTGGCAGTGCCTCCACCCCGTGCCCCTTCCTGGCAGGGTCATTAGGGCAGCGTAGGAGGGAAATTCTAACACCAGGGTAGAATCATAGAATATCAGGGTTGGAAGGGACCTCAGGAGGTCATCTAGTCCAACCCCCGGCTCAAAGCAGAACCGATCCCCAATTAAATCATCCCAGCCAGGGCTTTGTCAAGCCTGACCTTAAAAACTTCTAAGGAAGGAGATTCCACCACCTCCCTAGGTAACGCATTCCAGTGTTTCACCACCCTCCTCCTGAAAAAGTTTTTCCTAATATCCAAACTAAACCTCCCCCACTGCAACTTGAGACCATTACTCCTTGTTCTGTCATCTGCTACCACTGAGAACAGTCTAGATCCATCCTCTTCGGAACTCCCTTTCAGGTAGTTGAAAACAACGCTCAAATCCCCCGTCATTCTTCTCTTCCTCAGTTCCCTCAGCCTCTCCTCATGCGTTCCAGTCCCCCACTTACCTGCCAGATATTTGGAGGCTCCCAAGAAATAACACACAGGCGCACACAATTCAACACAGTAATTACAGGAAACAGGAGGTAAACACTATTCGCAGGGGCGTCGGTGCCCATGCTGACAATACAGTGAATTTCCCCGATACGGCAAATGTAAAGGAGTGTCGGGTTGGTGCGGCACCTTGTGGGGCCCGTGGTGAGCTGTGGCCCTCTCTCTCCTGGGCGGCTGCTCGCAGTGTGGCTGGCGGGGCTCGGCGCTGCACAGGACGCTGAGCCCCCGCAGATCTGCAGGCAGCAGGAACAGGCTCTGCTCCGACTCCCGGGAAGCCGCCCGCAGCCTCGGGGCTCCCTGCTCCACCAAAGTCCCGCAGGCCCCGGCAGCTTCCTGGCAGCAGCGGCCGGACCAGCCGGGGTCTGGGAGAGACCGGGGGGCCATAGGTGCCCATGTGAGATAACGCCCCAAAGCCGGGTCGGTCCCACCACTGTCCGGGCAGCGGGTCACCCTGCGGCACCGCCTGGGAGAGACAGCGCCCCCCCCCACGCAGCCGGACCCCCCCTCCCCAGACAGCACCCCCGGCAGCTGGACCCCCCCTCCCCAGACAGTAGCCCCCGCGGCCCCCGCAGCCGGGACCCCCCTCCCCAGATAAGGCCCCCCCCGCAGCTGGGCCCCCTCCCCAGACAGCGCCTCCTGCAGCCGGGTCCCCCTCCCCAGATAAGGCCCCCCCCGCAGCTGGGCCCCCTCCCCAGACAGAGCCCCCCCCGCAGCCGGGCCCCCCCTCCCCAGACAGAGCCCCCCGCACACAACTGGGCCCCCCCTCCCCAGAGAGTGCCCCCCCGTAACCGGCCTCCCCCCAGACAGTGCCCCCCACATCTGGGCTCCCCCTCCCCAGACAGCGCCCCCCCCAACTGGGCCCCCCCGAGACAGCGCCCACCCCGCAGCCGGGCCCCCCTCCCCAGACAGTACCCCCCACCGCTGGGCCCCCCCTCACCAGACAGGGCCCCCCTCCAGCCGGGCCCCCTCCCCAGACAGTACCCCCCGCCGCCCCGCAGCCGGGCCCCCCCCAGACAGAGCCCCCCGCACACAGCCGGGCCCCCCCTCCCCAGAGAGCGCCCCCCCGCACACAGCCGGCCCCCCCCTCCCCAGAGAGCGCCCCCCGCAGCTGAGCCGGCCCCTCCCCCGCCCCAGGGCATCATGGGAGTTGTAGTCTCCGGGGCCGGGGCCGCCCAGGCTCTCCCCAGCGGGACACTCCGGTGAGGCCAAATCCCCCGTTTCCCCCCCGGCTCAGACTTTCGCTTCCCCTCGCCGCCCGCCCGGGTCTGCCCAGCGACCGGTGACGATACCGGGGCTCCGCGTCGCTATTGGCGGGATGCTCCCCCCCCCAGCCAATCCCTGCAGGCCGGAGGCTGCCGCGGGAGGAGCTGGCTCCGCCCCCCGCGGCGTTCTCGGGTCCCGGGGCCGCGTCCGGCCGCGCTGCGGGGGGTCCGGGCATGGCGCTGGCGCTGCGCCTCCTGCTGCCGCTGCTGGGGGCTGCAGCCCTGCCGGGGGCCCGATCCCGTGAGCATCGGGGGGAGACCCCGGGCCGGGGGGTGCGGGGGGGGGAGCTGGGTGGCGGGGGGGGGCAGCCGGGCCGGGGGGAGCTGGGGGTCGGGTCGGGGAGCAGCCGGGCCAGGGGGTGTCGGGGGGGGGTGGTGGGAGCTGGGTGCCGGGGGGGGCGGTTCTGGGCTCTGCCTTCAGAGGTGTCGGGAGACCCCCCCCCCGCCCCCCCCGGCACTGAGCGGTCGCTGACAGGGATCAGTGACGTTGCTATAGTGACCGGGGGGGGGTCCTGGCCCCCTTGTGCCCGGCGCTGCCGGGGGCTGCGGGGACAATGTGCCGTGGGGGGCGGAGCGCCCCTGACCCGAGCGGTGACCCCGGCGTCTCCCGCCGACCGCCCCCAGCCGGGGGGTGCGGCCCCGCTCGGACCGGCACCCATGGGTGCTGCACCCGCCGACGAGCCCCTCGCGGCCCCGTGCGGCTCCCGGGCTGCGGGGCATCCCCGGGGCCAGGCGCTGCCCAGGCTGGGTCCCTGCCCGCGTCTCCGGGCTGGGCGGCCGAGTCCCGTGGGCAGAGCCGGGCTGAGGATTAGTGGCTGGAGTAAACTGACCCCCCAGAGAGACCAGGATGAAATGAAGGAAAAAGGCTTCTTGGGTCTCTCGGAACTTTAATGGCTCCCGGACGGTTCTTCACGCCGGGTTTCCCCCCAGGGCCTGGGGCTCCTGAGTGCGGCTTGTCCCTGGCTCCGTCCAGCTGGGCTCCGTCAGCGCCAGTCCGACCCCAGGGTCAGTGATGGGGTGTGTCTGTAATGGAGACAAGTCTAATTAGAGGTGTCAGCTTAGGGAGGGGATGTGTCTGGTCTCTGGCGGTGAGCACAGGGCAAGGGGAGAGTTTGGAGCTGACTTAAGGTCAACAGAAAAAAGCCATTCTTAAACTGGAAAAGTAGTGTCCACAGGGCCTCTTGCACTGATTTAACTAAACCAGTTTAACTCGCACCTTAATGTAAACTGGTGTGAATGTGTGTAGAGAAGGCCAAGGTGTTAACAATGAAGTTTAAACAGGTGGAATAAACATGGGCTGTACATGCAGTGTTTGTACCATTTCTACACAATTTGAAAGCATCATAGCTAAGGGCTTGTCTACACTGGCAATTCACAGTGCAGCAAGTTAGAGCGCTGTAAAGCGCCAGTGTAGACAGGCTTCCAGTGCTCGGAGCTATTCTTCTAGTCGGCCTGGTTTGCCAGGAGCGCTGGGAGAGCTCTCTTCCCAGTGCTTGCGGGTGCCCACACGCAAGGTCAGGTCAAAGCACTGCCGTGGGAACGCTCCTGCGGGCAGCACTTGGAACTGTCCAGTGTAGACTTAGCCTAAATCACCACTTGGGCTATGTCTACACTGCTCACCTGACAGCTGTAAGGCACTTGGTGTCGCCACTCTTTGTCGGCAGGAGAGAGTTCTCCCGCTGACAAAATAAAACCACTCCCAAGGAGGGGTGATCGTTTTGTTGACAAAGCTTCTCCTCCTTCCAAAACTCCACACTTAACCCCAAGGGCCTCCACCTGCCCCGTCCTTTGTTCTTGTTCTTGGCAAACACTGTCCCCTGGCCGCCTCCTCAGCCCTTTGTTTTCCAGCTGGTCACAACTGGCTTTCCTGCAGAGGATGGGTCTCATTAGTCGCTAGGTTCCGAATGTCCAGGCAGTCCCCATAGGCATGGGGCCCAGACCCCAGACAGCCAAGCGTCAGTTACACCTGGATCTCTGCAGAGTAAACAACCTTTTCCCCCACCTCTTTAACCATGCAGCTCATAGGGGAAACTGAGGCACACACATTACAAATCAAGGGGAGAGGTGATCGGTGGGTGATGCTGAGAAACCAAGGGATGGTCGAAAAAGGCGAATCCACACTGGAGAACTCAGAGCAGGGCTTGGTGAACCCAAGTCCAGTGCATGGCCCTTTCGGAGAGTGGGGGAGCTGACCCAGGGCGGCCAGGTGAATGCGGAGGGGAGGGGAGGAGATAAAGAGCAGAGGGTCAGATGGGCCATATTGGAAGCCGAAGTTACGGAGGATGAGTGTGGGAAGCTGGGGAAAGGAAGGGAGAGCCGGGGTGGGGATCACAGAGGGTGACTGAGGGGAGGAGCGGGATGGATGGTCGACAACAGCAGTGTGGAGAGAAGAAAGGAGAGAAGTTAGGTGCAGGGCCCTGCAAAAGAAGAGATGGAGTGAGGAGGGGAGAGGGAGGGGCTGGAAGCAGCAGGCGAGTGGGGAGCAGAGGCCGCTGCAGGGCAGTGTCAGAGGCAGGGAGCCAGGTCTCTGAGAGGCAGGAGCGGGATCAGACTCTGATCCATGCTGTGGCTGTCGCTCCCGTCACTGCAGTGTCCAAGGGCTAGAGTCGTAAAGGGGCTAAGATGCCTAAATCCCAGAATCAGGCCCCTCTGGGGTTCACAGAGTTCCCCCTGGCTGCTGCTGAGCCCTGTAGGTGCCTGAACACACTTGGCACCTTCGTTCGTGCAGTAACAGTTCTCGGGATCTGTGTTCCTGCCTCTGGGCCTGCGCCCTGCAGCTTCCTGCTAGGAACCCGGACGCCTGAGCCCCAGTGCGATGCATGGACCGAGGGACGACAGGTGTCCTCCACCTAACTCGTCTGGGGGCCCGATGCGGTGGGTGTGCTCAGGCCGCTTCCTGGATCGGACTCTCACATGAGATCACAGAACAGTGTGGGAGGAGCCGAGTGGTTTGAGCATCACCTGGGGGGTGGGAGACTCCTGGTTCCAGGCCCCCTCTGCCTGCGGGGGAGACTGGATTTGAGCAGGCCTCTGGCACCTCACAGGGTGCCCTAGCCCCTGAGCTGTGGGGCACTCTGCTGTGGGGCCCCCTCCATCGCTCCTGTGGGAGCCATTTCTTTGGGGAGAACTAGAACTGGACCAGAGAGCAGGGGCGTGAGAACAGCTCTGTGCGTAGCCGGGTGTTTGGAGCCCTCACCCGGGAGGTGAGAGATCCCGGGTCCAGTCCCTCTGCTCCACTGACTATTTAATTAGTTAGCTAGGGAGGAGCAGCGTCAGCAGCTCTGCTCGCCGGATCCGGCATCTGATTGTGACTGAAGGGGAGTGAAATGGACAGTGGCTGGTGGTGGCACAGCCAGAGGAGCTGAGGGGAAGAAAAGGGGAGAGCTCTGTCCCCGTTAGATCCGTCTGTTCTTCAGCTCATACATAAGCCAGGTCAGGGCTGTCCCTGTTGTGTGTGTCCGATGCCCAGCATGGGGGCGGGGAGGCTCTGGTCTGTAACTGGCCATTAGGAACTCTGGAACAAGGCCGCGATCCTGCAGATGCTGTGTGTCACGTTACTGAGGTGAGGGAAGGCTCCAGGGGGCTGTGAGAGTGAGTGAGGGTCCACACTGCGAGTCTGCAGGATCTGAAACTAAATAACCCCTGAGACACTGAGAAACTAACGGGATCAAATAAGTTACCAGCCTGCATCAGCCTGTCCCGCCGCCTCCCCAGGTCCTGATGCCCCCCCCAGACGTGTGCGTAACTCCCCAGAGCCGTGTCTGACGTCAGTGGGACACTCACATGGGTGAAGGGATCAGGGATTCAGTCTCTGCATCATCAGGCGCTTTGGGAGCTGTCGTCCTTCCCCATCCCCTTTGGCCCTGATCCTGCCTGTGGATCTGTGGGGCCGGGGGATCAGCCTGTGAACTCTGTGGGGCAGGGCCTGTGCAGTGACTGGCATGACAGGGGGCCCGATCCCTACAGGGGACCTGGTGTGCAGCCACAGCATGAATAAGTGAAGACCAAAGCAGACTGTGAAGCGTTACAAAGGAGATTGCAGTGGACGAGAAGCTGGAGATGAGTCAGCAGTGTGCCTTTGTTGCCAAGAAGGCTAACTGCATATTGGGCTGTATAAGTAGGAGCATTGCCAGCGGATCGAGGGAAGTGATTATTCCCCTCTATTCGGCACTGGTGAGGCCACATCTGGAGTATTGCTTCCAGTTTTGGGCCCCCCACTGCAGAAGGGATATGGACAAGTTGGAAAGACTCCGGTGGAGGGCAACGAAAATGATTAGGGGGCTGGAGCACATGACTTCTGAGGAGATGCTGAGGGAACCGGTTTTATTTAGTGTGCAGAAGAGACGGGTGAGGGGGGATTTGATAGCAGCCCCAACTACCTGACGGGGGGTACCACAGAGGATGGAGCTCGACTGGTCTTAGTGGTAGCAGATGACAGAACAAGGAGCAATGGTCTCAAGTTGTGGTGGGGGACATCTAGGTTGGATATTAGGAAATACTATTTCACTAGGAGGGTGGTGAAGCACTGGAACGGGTTACCTGGGGAGCTGGTGGAATCTCCATCCTTAGAGATTTTTAAGGCCCATCTTGACAAAGTCCTGGCTGGGATGATTTAGTTGGGGTTGGTCCTTCTTTGAGCAGGGAGTTGGACTAGATGACCTACTGAGGTCTCTTCCAACCCTGATCTTCTATGATTCTATGGTCTTACAAAACTGGTTGACTGGGCAACAAAATGGAAAGTGAAATTCAGTGTGGATAAATGCAAAGTAATATACATTGGAAAACATAATCTCAACTATACATATAAAGTGACGGGGTCTAAATTAGCTGTTACCACTCGAGAGATCTTGGAGTCATTGTGGATAGTTCTCTGAAAACATGCACTCAATGTGCAGTTTCAGAGGGGTAGCCGTGTTTGTCTGTTTCAGCAAAAACAGCGAGGAGCCCTGTGGCACCTTCAAAACTAACAAATTTATTTGGGCATAAGCTTTCGTGGGCTGGAACCCACTTCGTCAGATGCATACACGAAACCTTATGCTCAAATAAATGCGTTAGTCTTTAAGGTGCCACAGGACTCCTTGTTTTTTTCAATGTGCAGTGGCAATCAAACACGCTAACAAAATGTTGGGAATCATAAGGAAAGGGATTGAGAATAAGACAGAAAATGTCATATTGCCTCTTTATAAATCCATGGGATGCCCACATCTTGAATACTGTGTGCAGATGTGGTCGCTCCATCTGAAAAAGGATCTATTGGAATTGGAAAAGGTACAGAAAAGGGCAACAAACATGATTAGGGGTATGGAATGGCTGCTACATGAGGAGAGATTAATAAGACTGGAACTTTTCAGGGTGGAATAGAGACGACTAAGGGGGATATGCTGAAAGTCTACAAAATCAAGACTAAGGCTATGTTTTTTTCACAAAGGTCGCGGAAGTCACGGAATCTGTGACTTCCAGCAAACTCCGTGACTTCAGCCCGTGGCGGCCGGAAGCTGTTGGGTCCCCCTGCCACCTGTAGCAGCCAGGAGCGGTGAGGGGGCTCCGTGGGCTGTGGGGGGACCAACCGCTCCCAGTTGCAGTGGGCAGCAGGGGGACCCCGGACCTCTGAGTGGCCCGCAGTTGCCTAGCCCCTGCAGGCGGTGTGTGGGTGACGCAGCTGAGCACCCCGTTTTGCCATGGATATTTTAGTAAAAGTCCTGGACAGGTCACGGGCATCAAAGAAAAGATCACGGAAGCCCGTGACCTATCTGTGACTTTTACTAAAAATATCCATGACAAAATCATCGTCTTCATCATGGCTGGTATGGAGAAAGTGAATACTGAAGTGTTATTTACCCCTTCCCATCACACAAGAACTAGGGGTCACCCAAGGAAATTAGTAGGTAGCAGGTCTAAAACAAATAAAAGGAACTATTTCTGCACACAGTCAACCAGTGGAACTCCTTGCCAGAGGATGTTGTGAAGGTCAAGACTATAACATGATTCAAAAAAGAACTAGCTAAATTCATGGGGGACAGGTCCGTCAGTGGCTATTAGCCAGGATGGGCGGGGACGGTGTCTCTAAGATGGGTGACAGGGGATGGATCACTTGATGATGACCTGTTCTGCTCATTCCCTCTCGGTCCACTGGCATTGGCCACTGTCGGTAGACAGGATACTGGGCTAGATGGACCTTTGGTCTGACCCAGTCTGGCCGTTCTTATGTTCTGAATAAGTTATAGTAAATTGTGTGCACAGCCAGTGTCCTGGCTCCCACCTGTAGCTTGGACCATCCCCCTGCCCACCTTGCCTTCCACAGCTTCAGCTCCTGCATCTCCCATCCCCCAGTCCTCCTGCCCCACCCTCTCCCATAACACCCCCTTCCATTTCCCCACACCGCACTCCAGTCCTGCCCCTCCTCCTGGGCCCCCTTTCCTTCTTCACACTCCCCTGTACCCCCAATATACTCCCCTACTCCTCACACATGCTCCAGCCGCCCTGTACCCTTCCCCACCCCTTCCCCTCCTCACTCCCCCTCCAACCCTGCCTCCCTTTCTCCTTTTACCCCACCATCTCTTGCTCCCCAGTCAGGCGGGTCTGTGAGCCCTTTCCCAGGTCTCCCTCCCACAGGAGCGCTCCTGAGGGCTGGCACCGCCTCTTGTGTATTGCCAGGGGCTCCCTGGCAGGGTCTGGTTGGGTCTGACTCTCCCCTCCCCCAATTTCCCCCCCCCCCCAGGCCTGCACTCCAGGCGTGTATTGGACACGGTGGTGTCGGAGCCCGGCCCGGGGCTGCCCTGGTACAGCCGTGTTGTGTACGTGGACGATCAGGTCATCTACGTCTACACCAGCGGGATGCAGAGGGCGGAGCCTCGCACAGCGTGGATGGCGGAGAACGAGGGTCCGGAGTTCTGGGACGAGAGGACCTGGTGGGCACAGCGCCACCAGAAGTGGTTCAAAGCGAGTCTGAACACCCTGGGTCAGCTCTACAACCAGAGCGAGGGTGAGTGCGGGACACGACCTGACCTAGGGACACAGGGACATGGGGTGCGGGGGCGCAGTTGACGTAAACAGGCTGAATGGACACAGGGATGCATGCTGGGGATGGGGGGAAGGGACAGCCCTCAGGGGCATTTTCTCGCAGGAGTCCGTGTGAATGTGGGGGACAGACGGACATGGGGCGGGGGGAGGAGCTGCAGGATGGAGGGTTCATGCGAAAGCCCTTTTTTGACACCCTCCAAAGTGGGACTCTCATACTGTCCCCTCCTCAAACACCCCAGATTTGTGCTACCAGTCCCACTTGCAGCTGCCTCTGCTGCCCTTCGGGGGACCCCCCCGCCCCTCATGTGTGGTCATTTCCCAGGCACAGTGGCAGATGTGCAAATGCCAGAAGTTCCCATCAGACCCAGCTAGTCTGACCTCCTGGTCACACAGGCCAGAGAATGGCACCCAGCGATTCCTGCATGGAGGGGTTTGTTCCTCCCGACTACGACAGTGACGCTGTCAGACCCTAGAGCTAGAGCAGGGATCTGAGACGTCTTGTCTCATTTCCCAGACACCGAGTGATGGGGAATCCCGGTATTGACAGCCCCAAGTGTTGAGACATCACGAGTCAGGTCCCCAAAATCCTGAGTTTGGCTTAAATGTTGTGAGTATTTTGGGAATAATATTGGAGGTTATTTTTATTTGCCCTCTGGTTTGAGCCTTTAGGGGACACATTTCCAGGGTTTTCCCTGCTCCTAGAAGGACTAGAAGTTACTGCTGTAAGAAAAGAGAGCTGAGACGCTCCTCTAATCCCATGAGTCCAGGAACTGGGGATTTAATAAAACTACCCGCTATCATGAGACACACAGTGAAGTCACAAGAGCAAACAGTGCTGCATTCACCCAGCCCTGGGGAGAAGCTGCTCACCTATGAGCCTCCTTCATTGTTCGCTTTGTCTTATTTCCAGAGTGAGTTTATCGAAGGTCAGATTCCTCTTCACTCCGCAGAGTGAGGGACTGACATTGACTTGGGCTGGAGAGTTAGTGAGAGAATTAGCCCCTGCAACGTGCAGAGACTCCCGGGCTTCCTTACTCCTGGCAGCACAAACCCCAGCCCGTGTCCCCCGGTTGGAGCCCCCAGGGTCAGGCAGGTTCCCCTGCACACTATTGATAGATGTGTAAAGAGCCGTTCTTCCTGCTCGGTCCCTGATGTGTGGGGTTGTAGCCACCAGATTGTGCTGTCTCACTTAGCCCGGGGATGATCCATAAGCGTTCAGTGCCTGGCGCTGCTGAACTGTCCCTGGCAGGTGAGGGTCTCCCTGATGTAATTGCTCTGCCCTTCCTGACAGGGGACTGGCGAGTGAAAATCCCTGATTCCCCCGTGTCAGTGGTACTGGCCTGTGACATTGGTCCTCACCCAGGAGTCTCCCCAGCCCCTCCTGGTACCCTCCCCCCAATCCCTCCTGGCTCCCAGCACTGAGACAGCAGCGATGAGATCTAATTCCCATCCTGTCCTGGACACCTGGGTTCCTGGTGGCCCTGCCCCGGGACTAAGCGACAGGGCGGAGGGTTGCCAAGTGTCTGCCCCCCTAGCGCGCCCCCTCTGTAGCTAGTTTAACCCTCTCCTGACTAGTCTCGCCCCTTGGACCCCTGCTGCTGAGCCTGTCCAGCCTGACCTGCTCACACGGACACTGGCCTCCCCAGTGCTGAGAGAGGGGCTCTGCTCGCTCGCCCCTAACCCTGCGCTGGGGAGCTGCTGTTCTGTCCCCTCTGCCCCCTCCCCAATCAAGGTCCCGAATGCCCCCTCCTGCCCTCCTCCCCCCATTTACCCCCTCCTCGAAGTCCTGGGGCTGCCAGCTCGCCGGAGACTGTCCTGAGTCCTGCATCTTGGCCACCAACAGTGTTGCCCTCTCTAGCTGTGTCTGCCCCCAACATGCACATGGGGGAATTCAGGGTCTAGTCCCTCTGAGACCCCATTAGTGCAGCATGGAGGAGAAGAGGGGTGGGTGGGGCTGCCTGACCCACCCCACTCCTCTCGGGTGCCTGGCTTGGGATCTCTGCATGTTCTGTGACCAGCCGCCCTGCACCTCTCAAGATTCTCAATTGTTCTCTCGTTGTTACTCCATCCCTTTTCCCCTCTGTTGTTTTTTCACCTTTTGACTTTAGTTGTTCGGTGTAAATAGTTAGTTGGACTCTCGTAGCAGAGTTTCTTCTGCTCCTGGAACTGGGCATGTCTCGATCTCCGGGCTTTAAACCCGGTGCTCCCTGCAGCGAGCCCAGGCCTTTGAGCGACCTGCACTCCAGCTGTCTAAAGTGCATGGATGAGACTCCTCTTGCGGATCGTGGTCAGCTCTGCCACCGGTTCAGTGCCGGGGAGTGCGACCTGCATCTGGCCACTCCTCTGCCCCTGCTCCGCGGCGATACCGTCGATTCCGCCCTGTCCACAGGCCCTGTGGAGTCCGGTGCCCGACCAGCCGCCGGCACCAGAGGGGCCGTGAGGCACAGCAGGGTCGCGGTGCCGTCCATCCCAAAGGGGTTTGCGGTGGCCAGGGACTGGCTGGCATGGTCGCTACCACCCTTGCTGGCAGTGCAAGAGTTGGTGCCCGCTGTGGGGGAAGCAGAAGGGAGCATGTTGCCCCGAGCTCCCGTCTGGTACCAGGCCCCTTGCTCTCTGCTTATGTCGAAGCAGCTTCCCCATCTCGGCCCGATCCCTGGATCCTCAGCACCGTCCCTTGGAGCCGACGGGTACCACTCCCCCCTCGTCCCCACAAGATGACTCATCATCCAAGTTGGAGTTTGAATCTTTCACTCAGCTGAGGGACCTAGTACCAGTACCCCAGCAACCAGCCCTATGCAATGGTGGATCCTGGGGTGGGGGTTCCTCCGAGCGCCTGGCCCAGTGGGCAATGGCCCATGCAGATACAGTGGCCTTTTTGAAACCCCTGGGGTTTTCCTCCGCTGCCTGGCCCACCGTCTAGGTGCCCCTACTCAGTGGTGTCTGAGAGAAGGATTCCTCTGGCACACTGAACAGCAGCTGATCCCGACTACGATATTGAGCCAGGCACAGACTCTCAGAACCTGGAGCTACGGGATCGAGTTGGTGCAGAAGGAGAAGAGGAAGGTCCCACGCTGGTGCAGGCTGCCTCCTCCTCCTCCCCAGAAGAGGCAGGGATGGGTGTTTTCCCTCCCCAGGACACTTCAAGGCACACCAGAAGTTATTGAAGAAGGTGGCCTTGAACTTAGGGGGAGGTAGTTAAAAAGTCTTCCAACAGCCCGGTCAACGGCAATGGCCTCATCGAAGGTAGCTCTGCCTCTCAGTGAGGCTATCATGGGTCCAATTAAAACTCTGTGGCAGACCCCTTCCTCACTGCCCTCCATGTCAAAGAAGGCAGAAAGGAAGTACTATGTCTCCACCAAAGGGTAGGAGTACGTATGGTCCCATCCTCCTCCTGGATCCTTGGTGGCCTCGGAAGCCAATGAGAGGGAAAGGCCAGGGTTGTAAGGCCCAAGTCAAAAGACTCAAACAAGCAAGACCATTTTTGTAGGAAAATGTATTCTGCCAATGGACTACAGCTCCAGCCAACAGGCCCTGCTGGGCAGATATGACTTTCACTCCATGTTGAAATGTAAAGACTCGCTTCCCCAAGAGTCCAGGCAGGAGATTGTTGCTCTGGTGGAAGGGCAGGCGATGGCCAGGGCTTCCCTACAAGCCACCCTTGACACAGCGGATGCGACAGCCGGGGCTATCGCGTCAGCTGTGCCCATACAAAGGGGCTCCTCGCTTCAGTCCTCTGGCCTACAGATCTTCCGTTTGAAAGGACTTCGCTCTTCTCAGAGCAGATGGATGGCAAACTTCACAGCCTGAAGGCCTCCAGAGCCACCCTCAAGTCCTTGAATCTCCCTGCCCCGGTGCCTTCGAGGAAACATTTCAAGCTCTAACAGCCTGCCCGCTTCCCATGCCTGCCGCCTTGTCAGGGCCTGTTCAAAAAGCAGAACAGAAGTTACAGGCGCAGACAGCCCCCCCATCTGCCTCAGCCTCGCTGCCTGGTCCTCCCAGATAATCAGTTCCCATACCAGATCCTGCCCCCCTTTTGTTTTTTGGTCCATCTCTCCTGCTTCAGCTCAGCAGGTCCCTTATCACCACAGACCATTGGGTGCTGAGTACGGTGGAGGAGGGTTATACATTTCAGTTCGTTTCCATGCCTCCCTCCTACCCTCCAACCCTGTTTCTCTTCAGGAACCCTTCTCATGAGCAACTTTTAGCCCAGGAGGTGCCAGGTCTTCTCTGGGTAGGAGCCATGGAGGAGGTGCACCGGAACTTAAGAGGGACAGGGTTTCACTCCTGTTATTCCTGTGATGGGTTCAGTCACAGAGATCCCCTTGGGACTGTCACTGATATGCTGAAATCATCTCTGAGGCAGTTTTCCTTGCCAGCTTGGGAATTCCAGAACCCTGTCTTGTTGAGCCAGACATGCTAGCCTGTTTACACAGACCCAGGGTCTGGGCCACGCTCCCAAAGCTGCGGGCTTTAGCTGAAAACTGCTCAGAAGATTACCTGTCTCCAGTGCCCAGACACCCAGTTCCCAATGGTATCCAAACCCCAGATAAATGCTTATACAGGGCAAATTTATAAATTGTCCGTCTTCTATAACATGGATAGAGAGATACGCACAGCTTTTCGCTCCCCCAGGTATTAATCACCTGCACTGGGTTTATTAATAAACAAAAGTCATTTTATTAAGTATAAAAAGTAGGATTTAAGTGATTTCAAGTAATGACAGAACAAAGTAAGTCATAGAGCAAAATGAAACAAAACACACAAGTCTAAGCCTAATACATTAAGAAACTGATTACAGGGAATATCTCACCCTCAAAGATGTTCCAATAAGTTTATTTCACAGACTGGACTCTTTCCTAGTCTGGGCCCAATCCTTTCCCCTGGTACAGTCTTTGTCAGATCCAGCAGACATCTCAGGTGATAAGCAGGGGTTTCTCATGACTGCCACCCCCTTTTATAACT